AATTAATTAATAAGCCATACAGAAGAATATTACAAAAGTGGGTTAATCATTAAAATAAATATATGACTTTTTTTTAAATTGTTGCTTGAATGAAATACAAAACTTACTACAATTTCAAAAAGTCAAAATCCAGCTAAATAAATTAATAAGACATAGAGAAGAATATTACAAAAGTGGGTTAATTATTAAAATAAACCTCAAAAAAGTACTTTTTTCAGCAAAATCAAAGATTTTGGGATTTAAAGCTCACCTTTCTTACTTGTATATAAAACAATTGACTGAAACCACAATATTATTTACCACAAATTCAAATAACAAAGATTGCAGGTAATGTTAATAACTTGCAATTTACTGTATGTGAAAATAATGATATTCATTTATAATTAATTTAAATGATTTAATTGTATTAATATTTATAAGGGACATTAACATGTCATACAAAAAGAAGAAGAAATTGATTTAAAATTGAAAGTGAAGAGGAATTTCTAATGGCATGGTAATGGATAAGTATAAAAGGGGCTTGACTTTGACAGTGTGGTGTTTGTGGGTGACTTCACTGGCCACAGATTCAGCGTGGCTCCAGTTTTACACAAAACTCCATTTATTTCATAAATTCACTGAACATGAGATACAATCATTCAATCAATCATCAACTTTCCTAAATGTACCTAGAGAAAGTATACAGTAATTTACAGCAGTATATAAATATGTACATCTTTTTTAGAAGCATAATATTATAAAACAAAACACATACTCTGAACTCTTTAAGTTAGATATATTAAACAAAAACTATAACGAAGTTAAAGGTATTTAAAATGTCAAACACATTACTTAACAGGATGTGGTTAACAAAAAAATAAAAATAAATCAAAGAAATCAGTAACAATTTTAGTTCATTTAATTTCTTAAAAAATAACGCATTAAAAGTTCATCAATGGAACTGGCGTGAATTCTGTCTTCCTAAGATTCCTCTTGTTTTGTGAAAGCCTAAAAATAATAAAAAAAGACAATAAAACTGAGTTTCAAACTGTACCATCAGACAGTGTAAGTCAAATGAGGATTCTATTAAGAAGATGCTTCTGAATCACACACCTGTTTGAGAAACTGCCGTCCAAGGTAATTTGTGGCCATGTTCTTCAGGTTTGTTCTGGCTCCTACTTTGCAGCGCACATATCCGTAGAGATTGGCTCCCTGTAACACCACTCCCATAATCACCACCGCCTGAGAGAGAAGACAGCATCACTCACAGAACACCATCTTCAAAACTCACGTCTGTGATAAAGACAGAGAGCTCACCAGCCATTTGATCTTAAAGGAGATGAGAGCAAAGAAAGCAAAGATGACCCAGACAACGGGGCAGATGATGAGACCCAGCCAGAAGATCCGAGACTCTGCGTTTGAGGATCGGGACGCTGAAGACTGACTCCCACTGGCCTGCAAACAAACACACACAGATCCAGACAGGACCTCAGCAGCTGTGTTTCCATCACCCTGCTTTTATG